TCTCAGCAAACTGACCATCATGGGTAGGTCCTACCCCTCCCCCATTTTTCAAAAGTGACACTTGGAAAACTAAGGCTTGATGATTCCTAAGAATCTGAACTTGGACTCTAATCCAATGGCAGGTTTACATTTTTGTGCCTTGGCGCATCCCAAAAGGAGCATTTCCTGTGCATTTTTCATATGATACATGACTACTCATTACCAGCACTGACTTTTAGAATGTTTTCAGATTTTGACAAACACTGCACATCAAATATTTATCATTAATGACTGTAAGAGTCCTGTCAGAAATATTTTTGAAATTGTCCTTTTTGAAATTGTCCTACCAAATATTTGAGACTTCATCATCAAATCTTACTTTTCACCCTATTTATTACATGTGGTTTGGATTTGCTTTTAGCAAAAAGTTCAGACTTTAACAATCATGATTCACCAACACTCAGATGGTTCTGAAGACCGTGCAGCAAATTTCTAAGAAGTCTAAACAGACTTGAGCAGAAACACCCAGGAGGGAGTAACTTCCCAGAGCAGCCACTGTGCAGGAGGCAGCATGCAACGAGGCATGCTTTTCTGACGTCTTTTCCAGTGGAGAAAATGAAATATACTGATTATAGTCATCTCCTGCTATACAAATTTGAATATACAAAAGCATCATAGCTATGGACAGAATTCTAGACATGAATATATTTGGTTTCATGAGCTGTCTATGCAGGTAAAATCATCTCTCTAAGCTTTCATTCTTAAAAATCTGTTAAATGGAGATTATAACAGTAGCCCCCTAAGGGGTTGTTGCTTGTATTAAAGAAAGTTTGTAAAGCAATTAGTACAGTTTGAAAAACAGCAAGTGGTCATGAAATGTTAAGCATTTCAAACATACTTATTTTAACCTACATTCTAAGAAGACAATTATTTTTACATATGCATCCTAAATACTGCATTTAAATTGTGAATATAATTTATTTGGAAGACTCAATTACAAGTTTTGCAATATAAAAGGAAACAGCCCTTTGGTTTGGGTCTCTGACTCAGTAAATATGCCAATTAAACAATCTGGTTTTAATCACTAATTTAAGTTTAAAATTTTCTATCTCTTTTTTTTTTCTTTGCATTTTCCTTTTCATTCTCACTATATCCCAAATGACTTAGGGAGATGTCATCCAAACAATGAAGATTAATTTTCCTTCTTCCTAGCAAGTTAAAATATGAGCATAATTACCTATATCCTTATTTTTTAAATCTACATATAATTATTACATATTGGTAGCATATAAGTGTATGCTCTGTATTTTTCTTCTAAAAGTAATTCCCATTATTGTGTTTAATTTTAAATTTTTGTTGTAAATGAAATATTTTTAAATGATATAAGCTCTAATTTAAATAGAATAAAATCATTTTGAAAATTACCTATAAAGACAGAGGAGGCAGTATTTTTCACCATAGCTACTTTCCCCTTTCTAAACCTTGTGGTCTTAATTGGATGTTCATAATAAAGAAAGTTACCATGAACGCCACATGCAAAGTCTTTAAATGTGCTGTGTCTGTTTTTTTTTTCCTGTAATGTTATTTATACTAATCATGAAATCAATAGAAATTATAAACATCCCATGTCAGACTTTACTAAAACCAAAAATGCAAAGTGACTACGGCTTCTGTTTTTCATATGGTACAGCTCCATAACAAAGCAGTGATGCCTATCATACATGCATCAGAAAACTAGTAGGTCCATCTTGAACAGAATGCTCCATGGTGCATTCCATGAGCTCCCCCTTCCCAGAAGGCCTGTGCCCAGCCCAGTTGCCATAGATGGCCATCAGACATTTAGAATGACATCAGGGGACAATCTGAGCAGGCACTTCCCTAAAGAATTCAGCTAGCAGGAGACTGAGGATATCAATGTCTTCCTGGCCGACAACTGCATTCCAAAGGTCAACTGGGGTGAAAAAAGGATGGACTTGGAGTTTCCACTGCCTTTTCAGCAACCAAACAGCTAACAGATGGTAACATACACATAGGAAGTCAGAAAGAAGCCTAGAAACTTCAGGCCTGTGAAAAAGAACATAACCTGACCCATTAAGCCATAGAATTTTAAGTCTAAAGAGATTTCCACTTCTTCAAAGGTAAAATTCAAGAACAGTTCTCATACTGAATCAATTCCCATCTCTCTGATAACCTACTTCTTTCTGCTATGACAGCCACAGTGTGAGTAACAGGGAACTCAGTGGATAGAAATGGAAATTACTCATATAGCATTAAGAATAGCCTCCCAGCCAGCTTATCGTTTTCCCAGCCCCATGTTCTGTGTTGAATGGCTCGTTTCATCCTCATAACAAAGTTTTGAGGATATCACATTATACTTCATATTTTACAGATGAGGAAACTGAGTCATGAGGAAATTCAAACTGTGGCTAATTACAGTTACAACCCTGTGACAGTGACAATCGGTTTTTAGTCATAAGACCCTTTAAGCGTCCCATCAGTGTTTCCATCTATCAGCTATGGGTGGCTGAGGCCTTCTACCATACTGCAAGCACTTGGGGGCGGGGAGCTGAAGCATTTTTGCTTATGGTACTGGATTTCAGGTAGTGTGAAAAGAATCCTTCCAACATGAGCAAATGGTACATCAATAAGAGAAAAAAGATTATAATTCAAATATAAATCAGTTCAATAGTCCAATATTTAAAAGAAGTATTATTGTAAAATATTTATCATTCATGAGTACTCTTATGTGAACCCTGAGATCTTCTTCATTAAGGTTTAATTATTGTAAATGGGCAAATTAACATCAACATTCATCCCCAACCAGTAAAAAAAAAAAAAAAAAAAAAAACGTAGGGAACAAATACAGGAAAAAAAATGCTAACAATTTATTGAAGTTAGTTTCTGCTTGGTCTGTGTTGTTTATTTACACGTCTCACACAGTACCACTTGTAATTTAATTTTGCTCATGTTATTAACATTTCTGGGCAAATTCCACCCTGATAGAATCAATGCATTTGACGATACTTTATCAAATTTGAGGAAGATTGTGCTTCGCTAGCAAGTCTCACCTCGGATAACACCTTTCTCTCTGACTTTAATATTGCTTCAACTCTCATTTTAAAAGTATAATGCAAGTTTCTCAGAATTTTTAAGTACAAGTAAACACAGTATTACATCCCAATTGTTCTTTTAGAAAGGCATTATACGGATGTCTGATACTATCAATCATACATTCTAAGTTTGGGAGACAGTATTATTCCCCATGAACCCTTAATTATTAAATGGAATTTCCTCTGGGATGAATGCTTAGCCGTATTTTCTGTTGTAAAAGGATAATTCTGCCTAAAATCTGTCAAGGCACTTTTTCTGCACAATTTTCCTAGCCACTCCAGGCAGGGTGCCCTAGTCCGACGGAAAGTATACTGGACCCTAGCAGAGGAGCTAATCATCTTGGGGGAAATCACTTTGCCTCTCTGTGCTTGCCTTCCTTTCCCTATAAAAAATTAGGTATTTGTGTTAGATGTTTCCCAGAATGCTTTTCAGCATGAAAGATACCGAAATTCTGATTCTACAGCCTTTCACATAGAAACATGGACTATCCTAAAATGTTGCTGGTATCAAACATAAAGCACGTTCTAACCACTAGTCAACTTTAAACTCTATTGCAGCACTCTTCAGTGTAACGGCGTGTGCGATGATGGACACATTATCTCCCTACCTAAAAGGTAGTCACTACCCACGTGGAGGCTGTTAAGCACTTTAGGTATAGACTGTGGAACTGAATAAATGAACTTTCTTTTGGGTTTGAATTTTAACTTGGTTGAAAGGCCACACGCCACCTTATTAGCAACAGTTTACTGTTTCAAGAACAGGACAGGAAGCATTTTTGTGCCGAGGCTTCTAGAGCCCTGTACTTCGCAGTGCCTCTGATGAGCCACTCTGCTGCATACTTGCTGCCCCTGGAGCAGCACCTCAGACAGGCAAAGAACATTATAAGTTTCTGCATTTCCTGATGATTGTTTTTGCAGAATATCATCAATGTTTTCGAGGGCTAACACATTAAAGTTGTGCAAGAAGAAAGGAAGTCTTCCTGTTTGTTGTGCATCTCCCTAGCATCCCACTTCTCTTTGTACATTGTGACCTTTCCTGTGCCAAGAGTTGATACACAAAGGCTGCTTAATTACTAGAATTAGTGGTTGGATTTTAATTTTTGGAAATAATTCTGGCCAAGAATGCCTTTAGTCCCAGCACTGGGGAGACTGAGGCAGGTGGATCTCTGTAAGTTCAAGGCCAGCCTGGTCTACGCAGTGAGTTCCAGGTCAGCTGGGGCTACAGCATGACTCTGTCTCAAAAATCAGTATAATAATAATAATAATAATAATAATAATAATAATAATAAATTCCATAGCTCCTGAGTGCTTAGGCTTTAAATCTAATACCAGGTCCTCTTCTTTCCCATTGGTCTGTTAGATACAAAACCAAAAAAACAAACAAATAAACACCTAGGACGTCACAGGACAGGGCTGCTGGACTTGCCAAAACTACTCTCCCAGGATTGCAAAATGCACAAGCCAGACAGGAACCTCATGCCAGCGCTTTGTGCTCTGTGTGTGGGTAGTGGGTTCTTTTTACTTTGCCCCCGCGATTCTGGAGGTCGCTCAGAGCTCATCTCCAGCTCTTTGGAAGAAATACTCTTAGGATCCTAAAACCAGAGCTGCAGAGAAACTCCGCCAGCACCGCCACCGCACGTTTCCAAAGCCCACCCACTGCCTTTTGCGCCCTCCTCCATTCCCCAGAGCACATCACGCGCCCTCATTATCAGCATGCCATGGGTCGCTCCCCCCACCCCCCAGCCAACACATCCCTTCCTACCCAGCCGAATGCATGCTGCCACACCCCTTCCTGTCCCGCGCCAAGACCGCGGTGCCCACCCCCTGGGCCGCCCAGGCCCCGCAGGTCCGCGGGAGGCCGGAGCCCGCCTCCTCCTCCTCGCCCGTGGCGCGCGCACGTGGCGCACTCACCCCCTGCTAGCAGCCTCGGAGCTCTAGAAACTCGCGGGAGAAAGAGCCCCCACCCCCTCGGCTCCGTCCATAGGGAGAAAAGTGGGTGGGAGGAAGTAGCCACCCGCAGAGAAAGAGCATATAGGTGGGGAGAACGGTGTCGGAGGGGAGGACCAGCAATAATTGGGTGGCGTTGCGGTTGTTGCTTCTCTCCGGAACGCCCAGCCAGCGCGGATCCACTTTCCACACAAATCAACCGGAGGGATTGCTGCTGCCTGCAATCAATAATTCAGCGGAGTGAGCTGCTGAAACCGGAGGCGTCCCTCGTCTGGTCCTTCAGGGGCCCTGCGGACTGAATCCCAGCCCTCTGCTTCCCAAACAAAGAAGTGGGTACCAAAATGCCGGATGAGATTTTTAACCCCACACTTCCACCCCATCCCCTGGTATCGATCTTTCAAAATGAAAGGACACAGACCTAGTAAGGTCTCTAGAAGAAACGGTTAAAAGGGAGGCGTGAAAACCCATTCCTTAAATGGAAGGTCTCTTGGAGTAGAACCAGTGTTCCAATAAGCATTTAACAATTTTGGGAGTAACTGTAAAGTCCCATTAAATTTAGCAGTGTACGTGGATGCTTTTGAATCAGCCACACACACTTGTGAGGAAATTACCAATTAAGCCTTATTTGGACTTGCTGATAGAGGCAAAGGAAGAAATGCATAATTTGGAGAGGCCGGGTTTATTTTTGTTTGGGGAGGTATATTTTTTGTTTTCAGCTTTAAGGTATCTTTGAGACATTATCTAATGAAGAGTGCATCTCTATGAGGTGAAAAGGTCGTGGGAGATATGTATCATGATTCCCACTTACTAAAGCTAGCAGAACTAAGAGAAAGGGATTGGCCAGAAAACTTGGTACTGAGTACCAAATCAAGTTTAGCCTTACTGACTGTGGGCCTAGGCTTGAAAGAATTAGATTCAATTAACATAACCTCTGAACAAAACCCGCCCAAATTCTTCATTTCTCTCCAACTCTGACACCACATAATAAAAATAAACCGTATAGATGGCAACCCCCCAAAAGAGGTTTTCTAAATGACTCTTCACCATGAAAAGTCCTCCCGCTAAGACAAATGAGAAAATGGGTATTGGCCCTTGCGGTGTGGTGTGTCTGGAACTAGTCCCATTCTGAAGCCAAGGAAAGATTCGTTTGTGTACTAAAGTCATAGAAAGCTAGTCTTAAGACAGAGACTAGAACACAAGGGCATTTGTCTGAACGTCATACAGAAAAACACTGCTTGGAAGTATAAGGTATTATTAGTAATAGAATTCATAAACAGTACTGAACCCACATCATTAATCCCAAAGTATTTTGAGTGGGCCTGTAGGCAATACATAAAATAAGCCTTTTCAGCAACTTAGGTTATGCTGCAAATATTTCCTAGTTTGACAAATTTTGTTAGTTTGAGAAATGATGAATTTTACTTTTTTTCCTTGTTGCTCTATATCAGATATAAAATTAAAGGTACAAAAGTCAAGAAATAGGTTCACTGTATATGACATGAAGCATAGAGTTAAACCTTTCCCTGTTAAGCCAAATTCTTTGTATATTGCACATTCTCTGCCGCAGTCAGTCCCTATGTTGTATAGTCCACATGGGTTAAGGCTGTACCTAGTGAATTTTTTAAATTTAGATGTTTGGCACTATTTAACAATTATAGGCATATTTATAATTGACCATTCTAACTACTTTCTCTTTGATGCACATTGTTTGGGTTTAAAGACAGATTTATTGCTACTTTAGAAGTTTTAAAAATACATAGACTTGATCGACTTTAATGTCAGCTTTTAAAAAAACTATATACTACTTTTTTATATTTATACATTTAAGGTGCCAAAAAAAAGAGTTGCAAACTGTGAAGTAACCGCAATGAAGAAATGAAGCAAAGATTGGAAGGCAAATGACTGTGGCAGTAAAGAAGTGGAGGGGGTGAGTGTTCACATTTGTTTAATCATCTACCACAAAGTATCCTAAAAGTAAAAACATCAGTTTCTTTGTCTTGGAGGTATTTGTAATGTTGACATGTATGACAGTGGGACTCTTCTGTTCTTTATATTATAAGCCACATTGTGCCATTTTGCTTAAAGCTCTCATCCCCTTTCATAACGTACCTTTGCAAGTATCTACTACAATTAACTTGCTTCATGGGAAGTTATGCATCTCATCTATAGGACAACTACAAAAGCATTAAAATGTTTCATGCTATAGAATGTGTATCTTACTGTATTCTTTAAATTTTTCTAAACTTTCATGTTCAATTATTGTATTTGTGTTGAAAGTATTTGGCTGAAGAACAGATACTATACACTTGAATAATCTTGAGGGGTAGATTAATCTATAGCCTTTCTTCATCTCAGGGTAGGTTGCTGTGGCAACCGCCCCAGCTCACTTTAAAATAATTTTTTAAAGCTCACTTCAAGAGCTACACCCAGCGTGGGCCAGGCTTAAAAGCAGGCAGACCCAGTGCACAGGGCTTTCGTAGACTGCTGCTTTAATGTAGGGAAGCAGAGGAGAGGAGGCTGGAGGAAGATGGTATGGAACAGAAATGGGAATATTAGCTTTCTCTAGAGTTGAAACACCATGCTTCTGACTTCTTTAGTTCTTTAAATATATTCCTAAACAAATCCTTTGGGGGGGGGCTAACGTGTATTTACTTTTAAAATAAAGCACTTATTATAATTATTTAATGGAAGGAATATTTGGTGATTAGCTACACACACACTCACACACACACACACACACACACACACACACACACACACACAGAGCTAGTTTAATAGCACATCAATTCCAGACATCATTTCATTCTTGTTTCTTAAAGGAAGTCACCTTTTATTTAACAAGATAGGCCTCTGGTTTTCTATTGAATTAAAAGATATAATCATTTTTTAAGATTTTTCAAGCATAAAACTGGAAGAACTGAACTAACTTGCAGAGCTCATTTAACCTAGCAAACTGAAGCCTAAAAAGGATTTATCAATTAGTAAGACATTTTTGTTGTTGTTGTTTTGTTTTGTTTTCAACATTGGAAATCAAACTGGAATCAAAGGCCTTGTGCATACCACGGAAGTAAGTGCCCTACCACTGAGTCCCAACCCCAACCACAAATCTTGAACTGAATACAGTTCTAAGTTTCTGAATTCCCAACCAAGCTACTCCTCAGAGGAGAAAATATGCTGAGCCTTACCAAGTACTATTAGGTAGCAAGAATCAGGAGAGTTTGAGTAAATTCATGTAAACAAATCATGAAAGTCCAGAGTTATTTAAAGAATACAAAATACACTCTGGATTAACCACTTAATGGATTATCACTCAATAATTTTAAAGCTCGAATGACTTGTTGCTCTATATTCCTATGTAATGACTTCTCTTCCACATAAAATACAAAGGCTTATGTGAGAAAAACTAATGCTAATATGAGGTCACACATAATTAAGAAGCTAAATCTGCTGAGGGTAAAAAATCTTATATTTTAAAAGGCCAACTTCAATATATTCAAGACCAAAATTTTCAAAATATCCTCAGTGTGGAGTTGTGTATCCTTTTGATTTATCAATACCATTGATGAATATGGATTTGCTATCATGTTTACTATAAAATAACTCTCCTAAATGTGAAAAGGTAAAACAATTTCCTTTGAAGGAAAATAAATCTAAAGCTGAAGTGACTTATGGTAAAAAAAGAAATACCCTCTATGATTAACCAAAACAGCATGACTGAAATTCATAAATTGATTCTATTTGCTCATGTGACATAGACCATTACAGTTCATCACATTAAATTAAAGCAATATGACAATACATTCACAGGGTCCTTCAAATGCTTTGCTTTGTGAGGACCTTTGTAAACCTTAAAGAAAATCTAACTGTTCATCCTTGTTAGCATATCTAGACATGTCTGAGTGTCTTTAAAATTTTTAATTTTTCAGAGGTTGTACCTCTGAAGTTGCTTTCTGCCATACTATTTAAATGACCTCATGGTAGTCTCAAACTTCCCATATGTAAAAGAGGCTAGCACACTATAGTATGGATGCTAATCTGTAAAAAATACTATCTCAGAAAACTTTTGCTTTGTGTCAGTTTGCCATATTTGCTTATAATAAAAGTGACATCCGCAGCTGTACTAATAGTCACAATGCTAATGAGCAGGACGCTTGAAGGTTGTTCAGATGTAGTTGTACTTTCCTATAAATTAGCTTTCAAGGGAAGCGTTCAGAGGGTGCCTAAAAGGTGAGCCCACTCTTCGGAGAGAAGCTGCTAACTTCAAATAGCCTGCACAATGAAACAGGAGGCTTTTTGAACCACATTGTCCTCCTGCATTAAAATAGTTATCTGCAGGCATGCTGAAGAACTCAACAGGAAATGCAACTAGTCATTGGGTTAAACACATAGTGCTGAAAGGAATTTTTTTAAGTGAGGAAATATCTTTAATTAGCTAGGTTTTTCAGTATGCTACTCTTGTGCATTCAGTGCTAAGATCCACTGTGAACTTTTCCTCTTTCGAAATTTTAAAAATCAATTTAATATTTGTATAATTTATAGTTCTACTGGCAATATTGTCTTTTGTGATTTGTATTCTGATAATATATTTTAGATTTAGCATTTGGGGTCTGGTGTGATTGGCTAGGGCAGGGAGGTACCCAATCCCTACTACCTTTTCCTAAATATTGAATTTTAACCTATATTTTTGCTAAGGAAAATCGTCCAATAGGCGTAAACCTTAGCCTAAGTTTTCTTCCTTATCGGTCTCCGTTTCTGCTTCCTGTGCAGCTGAAACTCTTCAGGATAAGTGAAGTCATCCGCTATCGGATAGCCTAATGCATTTGGGAAGTTGGTTTGGTTTACAAGTTAATGACCTGGATAAAGTCCAGTAAGGTGTGGAAGAGATAGAGTGGTGGGAAGAAGAGGGACTTCTCCCAGTAAGCTACCACTTACCTCGGTAAATATTTTCAACCCGATTTGGAAAGTTCATGGCCCCGGGATAAAATCGAGATTTCAAACAGTTGTGATTATTTTATTATTTCGTGCATTACTAACATTGGAGAATCATTTCGGCTCACTTTCTAGCCCTTCATCCTCCCAGGGCCAAAAAGCCTTGTGTATCTGGGCGGGCAGGAAAAGCATGCTGGCACCACCGGCTGCAGACCTCCTAGATCTTGGCTTTTACGCGTGAGTAACGGAGGCGCGCGCGGACCGGTGCAAGGATGAAGTGGCTAATGCGTCTCCAAAGGGGAGAAAAGTCTAGAGCAGCTATTAGGGTCGCGCTCCGATTGGTCAGAGGAAAGATCCGGACTTTAGAAGGACTTTCCCGCTAGCTGGCTCGCAGCCTCCCCGGGGAGCCAGCGCGCGGCTGCGGGAGACTAGATTCTCCCCGAGAGTCCTCTGCAGGCGCGGGGAGAGAAGCTGGGAGTCGCCGCTCCCCGTGTTGTCTTCCTTTCGTGCAATAAAGAATTGTCATTAGGTTTGCGTATGGCATGTGCCATTACCCCACCGTAAAACTAAAATTAGCAAAATGTCAGGAATGGAAAGATTGATTCACCAAGATGCAATTATCATTTAAAAGTGCTTGATTGAGGTGCTGATGTTCAGTGATTTATTCTGCATACTATATACATAATTAAAGTAGTGTAGTGGAGTAATTTATCAATCTAGTTGAGACTGGGGGGGTGAGGAGGGAGCTGTTGGATGTTTGTTTTATTAAAATGCTCGGAGGTCTAGTCCCGCCCCCCTTTTGCAAGAGTGAAACTGATGATTTCCCCAGCTCGTGAGGAAGAGTCAACGGTTTGGGCTTGTAGGGATAGAGAAAAGGAAAGGAAAAGGCAGCGTGAGGCAAAGGCAAGAACGAAATAAAAAAAAGGAGGGGGGAAGGCCCTGGAGCTTACGTGCTGCTTAGAACTCCAGCCCCGTGTGCTCCGTGTGACTTGCCACCCCCGCGTCCCCTCCCTGTATCCTTGCATCCCCCACCCCCTCCCGCCGCCTTTTTACGCGATGTTTCAAAGGCTGTGAGCTGCTCTCCTTCTCCCATTCGTCTTCTGTCACTTCCTTCCTGGACGCAGTTTTCTGGACGAGTCTGGTTACTTTTAACCCGACCGGCCACCGAGTGCCACACTTTCTCCACCTCTTAGTCCTTCCCTTCCTCCACCTTCCTCCTCCTCCTCCTCCTGCTCCTCCTCCTCCTCCTCCTCCTTCTCCTCCTCCTCTTCCGAGCGCGGCTTCGGCGCGCGCAAATGCGCGATCCCGCGCGCGCCTCCCCCGTCGCGCGCGCACCCCTCGCGCGCGCACACGCACACATCGTCTCCAGCTCTCTGCTCGCTCTGCTCGCAGTCACAGACACTTGAGCACACGCGTACACCCAGACATCTTCGGGCTGCTATTGGATTGACTTTGAAGGTTCTGTGTGGGTCGCCGTGACTGCAGGTTTGAATCAGGTGGAGAAGCACTTCAAGGCTGGACGAAGTAAAGATTATTGTTTTTTTTTCTCTCCCTCTTAAGAAAGGAAAATATCCCAAGGACTAATCTGGTCGGATCTTCCTTCATGTAAGTACCTCTGACATTTCTCGATAGAAAAATAAAAGAAAGAAAGAAATAGCCTGGGTATTGTCTCTGAAATCTGCATCGGTCTATTCCAAGGCTGAGGGTCTATCCTGGCCCCCTTTTTGAAGACTGAAGTTGAGGCTTGTTGTGCATTCTTTTCCTTAGATTCCATGATTTCCTTGTGTGTTGCTCAAAGTAACTTTTCAGATAGTCTTATCTGTTTGCCATCAGTTATTGAAATCACTTCTGGCTCCCTCCTGTCACATCAGTGTGTTTAAAGTTTCATGAAGTTAGTTCACGTCATTAGCATGTTTGATAAGGAAGAGAATGTGGAGCCTTGGTGGATTTTAGTATTTCACAGAAGGTTCTGTGACCTTGAAGTAGATGTCTTAAGATTTAGCAGTTAGGTCAGTGTGAAAGGATGTTCCCATGAGTCTCCCCCGAAGACCGATTCGCCCTGGGTTAGGATTCTGAGCCACTAATTCTTAGGATTAGTTTCAGCTACAGCATGGCTGTCTGTCAGAGTCTACCTTTGTGCATCTTCCCTCACCAAAGTGTTGGCTTGGTAGCTTCTTAATTGATGGGGACAAGAAGTAGTACCCTGGTCATGGTAGTCTATACCTTTCACAACACATATCCGGATTTCAGCATATGCACTGTTGTTTAGATCAAGTCAAATTTAAGCTGTTTAAAAACAAACAAGGTTAAGTCACTTAGATTGCCTTCTGTTTGGACTTTGGATGAAAGTTACCAAACTAAGTGACAAAGTTGGGCATAAAGGAAGTATACATAGACAGGGCACATTGTTCATTGTGTTATTACATATTATGCAAGTGTTTAAGTGCAATGTTAATGTTATTTCCTTTCTAGAACATAGCTTCAAATTCTTAAAGGAAATTTTGTATTTGAACTATTTCTTACTGTTTTAGGTCCCATAGTTATTCTTTATGAAAAGCCTTTTTCTTCACATTTTAGAAATGGGTTTCTTTTGTATAAAATATTTTATATGTAAATGCTGACAGTGTAAGTAGAATCAGGCTCTCTGCCAGTTCTTTAACCAGTCCTCAGTGGAGAATTGCTTTGACACAAAGTGCATTTTACTATTGTTAATCTGATAGTAACTCTAATAGTAACTGTCTTATGAAATGCTTGGTGACTGTATATGTTTTCTAAGTGCTATAAAGAAAACTCCAGTCACTTCTACATGCCAATCCAAAAAACTGACCAGACTCCTTTCACTGGCACCTTGCAATGGAATTGTGGTTGCAGAGTAAAGATGTTTATGTGGAGCATAATAACTCCACTCCCCTGAGACTTGCTCAGACATGGAAATGTGACCACCTGTGAACCACGCTTAACCTTGTAGGCATACCAGTTTTAATTGTGAATAGATCAGCAATCCCCAATTTAAAATTAAAATATTTCATTTAATTATTTAAATAATGTCAGTTTTGACTAGTCTTAAAACTGTTCAGTATGTATCAATATGGCACAAGTGGTGTTTTTTGTTTGTTTATTGATTCAATTAAAGAAAATGCAGACAATAAACCATATTATTATCTTTCAGTATATGCATGAAATTAATTATTAAGTTTTTTAAAAAGTGGTTCTAAAGCAATTTGATTCCAAACTTGGGAGAGAAAATGAGATGTCCCTATATCCTATCTAAAGAGGGGAGAAAAATCTCTTAAATCCATGAGATTTTTTTTTCTGTTTGTGGGATAACCATGTATTGGACTCCAATCTCAATTTTAAATGTACTCATTCACTAAGACGCACTTTAAATGCAATTTCTGTTTAAAATTGGTTCCCTAGTCAAGCTGAAGAGACAATAGTTGCCAGCTTTTGATTCAAGTTGTACTAAACTTTATTTTAAAATCTACTGTTTTTATGAACGTAGTTTACACAGCTTTGGAATGTTTGGCATATTTTACAGACTCTTTATTAAAAAGAGTATTATACTTCATTCATTAATTAGACTATTTACATCTTGATTGCTGTGCATGCAAATGATTGAAAGATAATATTAAGGTATAACATTGATTAAATATTAATCTTATTGATAATTGGTTTAAATAACAAATGAACACATTGTAATAAAAGGCTCATTTTCTACCTTTTTAAAGCTAGTCATATTTTTAAAGTGTGCAGTACCAGACATTAAGTTTCCCAGGTGGAAATACTAAATAACTGTATGAAACTTGAGTCACAAAGACTTGCTGCACCTTCCCTCATTTTTTCTCTTTATTAAAGGCTTATTTTGCATAATTTTAAGGAAATTGTTCATTCCAATGAGAAAGTAGTTATCTAATGATTCAAATTTGAATCCTGAAAAAAGTGTTATGGTTTGTGCTTTTCAAATATCTGTTAGTTTTTCCTTGGCCCTCACCCTACTGGACCAATAAATTGAATGACATACAGCTATATCTTTCTAATAAATTGTTCATTGTTTTTAAATTTATTTTATAGAGAACTAGACTAAATAACTCCTTGACATATGCTAACATCATCTTTTAAAACTTTCTTCTGTATATTGTATATTTTGTGGTTTTATTTCCCAACTCTTCGTGCAATATATTTTGAGTCTTTGAAATCTCAGAAAGTGACAAAAATGGGGAAATATCTTTGCGGCAATTCTTGTACTATCTAACAGCAAAAAAAAAAAAAAAAAAAAAAAAAGCTTTTAAACAGAGAACCAAGATTTTCAGGACATGATTCAAAACAACATGGAGGAATATATAAACAGTTAAAGCTCACAAAGTAGAGTGCAAAAGGATTATTAATTCAGTTTTACTCCCTTTTTAATGAAAGTTCATCTTTTGAGAATATGCCTCCCAAGTTAATATCTAAAACTTATAAAGATGTGCATATCTCTTTTACACATATATAGTCATAATCTAGACCCAATGAAAGGTTTTAATGCCTGATGTTCACTGAGTATGCCACTTGGGGAAAGAGGTAACTGATCCTCATCCACAGCACTGTACCTTAATCTCATGGGCACATGGATGTTCCTACATTCAGTAAAGCTTGACTCTTCACCGAGATCTGTCACCTTTAAGAAATCAAACCAGATTACAGAGGCGATTCACAAAACCAGGAGCAAGAACAGTCTGTGCACCTTACAAAAGGCAGATTACACAGTTCACATGCTATTCTGATAGGGCAAAGATAAAAGCCGATTGTTGAGATTGTTGAAGAAGGCAAGGCACACTGATTTCAAATGATTGCTAGATAAGTATGCCACAACCCTGTTGCTTCGTCATTATAGAGAGCCATTCAAACAGTAGAAAACTCGGTTTTTAAATAATAGGCTTTCGATAGTTCAGTAAGAGAAAATATGTCCTTTTATGTGCTTTTTCATTGCTTAAATTTTAAGTTCCATCAATTCTTTATGAACAGACATTAAGTTGTCTGTTTATGTGAAGTGGTTATCATAAAACTTAAATGCATTAGGCATTTTCAAAAGTGTTGTAAAGAATACAGAGCAGAATTTGCCAGAAATAAAATACCACCATGGTATTGAGTACTAGAGCAGAAAATACATAATAGTCAATATCTAATATGCTGCTCTGTTACCAAGTATACTCTTCATCAAAATGTTCAATATGGAGTTATGAACCAATATATCCGAAATACATCTTGATAGGAATTTATTGGTCAAATTATATATATATATGTAGATTTCATGAATGTTTGATAAAAATGAATCTTTGTGACAAAATATTATGGTTTGAGGGCTTATGTCAGAGAATAAAGTTTTGTTTTACAGGATAGCATTTTAAAAACTTCAAATTCTTACACATCCAACTCTTTAATAATTTCTTGCTTCTTCTAAAATTGAAGTCCTTTTTTACCCAACTGATGCCTCCTAGTGTCTCACATAATAAAACACTAATGAGTCACCCATAAATGTAAACATTGCATTTTCATTGCCTACATCTTCTGTGATACATAAAATTAATATTTATGTGTTTAATTTTCTGTGCATTACTAGAGTAAGAGGAAACTTCAGTGAGTGAGATGTTTCATATGTGGATTTGTGGCTCATGTATGTTTTCCTGGACCATAACAACATTTTACTAAGTGTAATATGGTTATACCTCCAGTTACAATTCATATAATCCTTGTTTATATTTACTATTATTCCAAATGAAAAACTGGATTCTTCCCTTTTTTACAGCCGAGTTCATCATTAAATGTCTGATGAAAAAATGACAAAGAGACTCCTCATTTCATTTAAACACAAAGCTACCTCAAGAGATAGCAACTTTTGTCAACTCTATGTCTTTACACTTGCAAATTTTTATGTAAACGTTTGCATCTAAAAGCCTTTAGAAAGAGCAGTAAAGATAGGTGCACAAGTTTCCACAAATATCTGGCATATGTTGCTTTATTAGAAAAATCACATCAAAAGAAAAATCATTAGGGTTCTATGTAATGGAAGAGAGGTTTATTAAAATATAGTTTCTATTGAATCGCAGAGTGTTTTAATGAGATAGAGGTTAGTGGACACTAACTTCAGTGCAAGTTTTCTGTCCTTGGAATAAGAAGCAGAGACTGGTGATATGTCTGCGGAAGGTGGATATTTTATTTTCCTAAACTTTTCTTTAATATACTTTGTGAAAGAGGACACTCCCTTAAAATTCTCAAGTCAAGGGATATGTTAAAAAAAAAAAAAAACCCACAACTTATATGGACCTCTTTCTGAGTTTTCCCATAGCCCACATGCATACAGAAGCATTCCTGACTTTCACTAATACCAACGTTCTGAGCATCCAAGTCCAATTGCTAGACCTGAGCTTAGTTAACTGCTATTACATATGTATAGATCATTAATTCTCCTTATTAAAAATGTACAGAATGTTAGCGATATTTGACTGCTGATTATCTTCTTCTAAGTTAGTGATACAGTACTATTACAATTCTGTGCTTGTTGGACAAAATTCAAAGAATGTAAGTGGGTGTGTGCCTTTCGTTTAAGGAAGCAAATATGTAGAAAG